AAACAATTGATTAGTAATTTAAGATGAAAAGTCTGATTGTGGTTCTCATTTCCTTTTTAAAAGTCGTTTAGATGTTAATGAATATCGATTGGGCCCTCGGGCGATTTTAAAATTGTCGAAAGAAAAAGTTATTGCTAATCATCGTTGTCATCTGATTTCGATGATTATTTAGACTTACAATTAGTTGATTCGGTTAAGAATTCCATTTTGAAGGATTTGCGTTCATTAATCAGATCACATTTGTACATTTCCAATCTTAATTGCAATTTGATTGAGAGGTTGATTGTTGATCAAATAATCAACTAAATCATTTTGTCTTGATCACGTTGACATGAAATTGAATACAACCTTGATTGTAATTAATAAATTTTTGTAAACAAAAACCTTGCAATCAAATTAGCAGTTGATTAAATTAAAGGGTTAATATTTGGTTGAGTGTTAATATGAAATGTTGATTGATTTAAAAATTTAATTTTCTTTCCTGATCATCATTAATTGATTGTTGTTTTAATTATCGTTGTCCTTTAATTAATTGTTATTTGTTTATAATTATAAACCAAAAATATCAATTGTTGATGGACTAGATTGTTAATTTGTAAATTAACCTCGACAAGAAAAACACAATCAACAGATAACAATTAACGATTAATCGCTCTAATTATCTTGTTAAACATTAGAAATAAATTTTTCTAATTTTAATTAATTGTAATTTCTTAATCATGTTCATTTTCAAGGATCATAAAATGAATGAGAATCAATTAAAACTAATAAATTGATTGATAAACAAACAAATAGCTCGAGGCATATCAGATTAATTACTCTAATAAGCTGATCACAATTAGCTGATTGTAATTTTAAAACTCATTACAATTGTATAGTAACGATTAATAATTTTGTAGATTAATTAAATTTTTGAAATTAAATCAGCTAATCAAAAGTTTTGTCTACTAATCTATTTGTTGGTTTTGCCAATCATCTGGTTGATTGAGTTGTGACAAAATCAATTTATTATTATGATAATTAATTGCAAACTCTAGATTAACGATTGATTTGATTAACATTCAATTGATCACCATTGGTTTGCTTTTTTGTTTGATTGATCACAATAAAGTTACAATTTATTGATTAGCTTTGATCAGACTAATCAGATCGATAATTGAACCAAAATCAGAGATCAATTTATTATTACATTTGCTTACATGATAGTTATCCTTGATTGTGATTAAATTCACGATGATTATAATTGTTATCTGTTGATTGATTTTTTTTATCAACATTTTCCTAACTTATTTTCACTCACAACAATCAATTGATTGTTAGTATCAACATTGAGTAAACAACAGTAACAGTTAATTATTATATTTAATAACAAGCAAATCTAATCTAAAGTTTGAGCAATCAAATTGCTGATCTAATTTCTGGTTGATTGTTGTTTCTCATAGATTATTATTTAATCATTTCCGGTGTTAATTGCAATCACAATCACCTAACAATAAGTAATTAATTTGATGATCGATTGTAAACAAATATTACTCAATAATTGAATAACAATTTCTACCATTAAATGTAACAGTTTAAACTAATCAACAATTTATATTGACATTTAATCACTACCTTACTCTTGATCTACAAAATGTCAATCAGAATGAAGGAAAAGACTAAAAATTATCCACGATAATTAAGTAATCAAGGGAATACTTTTCTCGGTGGTATCTAAAAAACTTCAACTAATTAACTTTATTCGAGTTAATTAAAGTTAAATGAATTTAGAGTTTAACTTGGAAATGTAATTAAGATTCTGTGTCAACTTTTATTCAGATAAAAGTGAAACTATCATGAGGATTCTGATAAAGTTAATCAATGGTTGGGTCATTAGCTGGAGATAATAATGATAATACCGTTAATGGGACAATGGTCATCTCTCTCTCGATTATCGTGATGATTAATTAGATGCCAATGAATTATGTTGACAAAACACTGTCCAGAATAACGCCTACAATGTTGATTATCTTGATAATGATTAAGATAATGATCATTATCATAATCAAATAGAATCATGATCATTATTGTTATCACAATAATCGAGGAATTCATTGAATGTTCAGATAATGATGTAGTCATAGAATCGTAAAGCTTTTTATCAATGAGAAAATAATCCAAATCTATTGGTTATATTCTAATCCATGGTATGGGTCAGTTTTCGAGAAAAAGTTCGTTGGTCATCTGTCCTCAAGTTCGAAGTCTATTTCCTATTCAGTAGAAATCATTTAAATCTAAATCTAATTCAATTTTTGTTTTTTCTTTTTGGCGCCAAATCGAAGAGCATTTTTCAATTTTTCAATTTTTCGTTAATCTTTTTTTTTGAGTTGAAATGATTTTCTCCTAATCAGCCCAATCAGAGTTAACTATTGACCTGATTGATTGATTAAGTTAATTTGATTAATTGAGATGTTGATTCGTTAATTGAGTTTAATGACTCGAGATGATAATAACCTTGAGACTGATCAGAGAAAAGAAAACAAAAGAAAATCATTTCTGACCCAATTTTTTTTCTCACTTTTTTCCCAACGATTTAACAGTTTCACTTTGTAACAATTAAGAAATTATTTGATAATTAACACCAATCATTCATATTTTCCGATTCCAATGAAGGTCATTTTACTAACGACAAGAGTGAACATAAAAAAAAACCAAAGTATCAAAATAATTTAACTTAGACAAGGATAAACTTTGGAAACAATTGATTGTTAAATTAACATTGGAATCAATGGATTCCTTGAGAATGGCTCTGGAAACTTCATCCTAGAAATTGATGAGATCTATTTGTAGATAATAATAAATGAATCAATAGTAATCATCATCATTATCATCATGTTGAGATGATTGTCTCTGATGATGGTTAATGTTATTGCCTTGAATATCTATTAAGGTGTAAGGTTATTGGAATTGCGATTGAATAGACAATCAACTCACGTTTCGATCGTTAATGTGTCCATCAAGTTTGAATTCGGAACAAATTGTGATGGTCAACAAGTTCAGAATAGTAAATTCATTTCATTGTTTTTCTTCATCATCAGCATCCTAAGAGTAATCATGATTATCGTTATTAACATTTTAAATCATTTAACATCGATAATGTCCTTCGATAATGTTTACTTCTTGATTTCGTTTCTTATTGACCAATTGAATTAACTTGATAACATCAATTCTCATGTTTTCCTGTGTATTCATCACATGTTAATAGTATTGATAACAATCAAAAAAGACAAATATTATCACAATTTGATGTTTATTTAATTCAGTTGTCAACAATCAATTGGTCAATTTTGATTTACTTCATATTCACCATTACCTTGAAATTAGAGTTGAAAATCTGTATCTTGATCTTGATTGTGATTAAATTTCATGTGATCAAACTCAATCTCATCTTTAATTGGTGTAGTCTATTTGAAGATTAAATTATTTTCCTTTATCAAATTAACCAACAATTATGACGATTGTGATTGTGATCACTAATCATTATCATTTAATTAGTATTTGTTATTGTTTTTTAATGACGTACAAAATTGTTTAGAAACCTTGATTATGGTTTTAATTAGAGTAACAATTTGTGAGGCTCAATTGATTGTTAATCAAAAATTTGAATTGATTAACCTTTGACAAAATTTTAGAAAGTAATTAACAACCAATACAATCAAATATAATTAACAATTAATTTGGCTAATGGTGACAATGTTACCAAGTTAAGATTCTTAACAATAACAATTAACTATTTTCACTTTTATTAAATTGTCACAACAACACGAGAGAGACAAAAAAACAACACCTAATTGTCATTAATTTGATAATAACAATAAGAAATGTTGATCACTGATCAATACCTGATTTAAATTAATAACCTTGACCCTATTGATTATATTTTTTGACAACAATTAAAATTAAACAGCCAATAAACAATAAACAAAAGAAACACACAAATCAATCATCAATAATTTAATAACATTCATAATTATAAACTGTAATTTGTTACTATTGAAAAAGTTATAAATAAATTGTTGAAATTAAACATTTCCGAGCGACTTTAAATTGTAATTAAGCCTCAGGGTAAAATTAATGATTAAGATAAATTGGAAATAGCAAAAATATTAACTGAGAAAAACAATTAACCAGTTAAAAATAATCAATTTCAACTTCTCCATAATAATCAAATGCGATTGTTAATTACAACTCAGTAAACAATTTAAATGACAAAATTAACAGGAGTCGGAAAAGATGAGAATGATGAGAAGAGAGAGAGAGAGAGAGAGAGAGTGAGTGAGTAAGAAAGTGAATTGGGTGGTCCGATTAATGATCTTGATTGTTATGTTGAAGATGTTGATTGAAAACTCGGCAATTAAAAGTAATTATTAATACAATTTAATTCCGATTGTGAGTTAAGGCTAAATCAAACATTGAATAAAACTAAAAATAAATCATTTGCATCCAAGTGAGTGAGTAGTTAGTTAATCGTGTTTCTTGTCTAATAAACAACATAACTTGTATCATTCAGTTTCACTTACACTTTTTTTGCTAATCAACAACAACTCGTAACGAAACCACTTCGTTACAACGAAACGTAGTCAACATTAAACTGTTATCATTTATAAATCACTTGAACATAATGTTAACCTTTAAAAACTTTAACCAACAATTGGAAACTTTGATTAGTTTATTAGTTAACCAGTGAAAGTTGTTTTTTCGCATTGTTCCAAATCGAATTTGTTGATCGAAGAAAAAAGTTCTTTTTCTCTTTTTTCGATTATTGTTTCTCTCTCTCTCTCTTTCTCTCTATTTTTCCTGATTCTTTGATTGTTCAGATAATCAATTTAAATTGTTTCAAATTTTGTGTCTTTTATCCTTTGGATTGTGTTTTCTGTGATTTGTGTATTAGTGTTTTCATTTGATTGAGTTACTGCAATTTTGTAATTAATTGTTAAAAATTCAATTAACTCATTTGGATTATTATTCAGAACCGGAAGATAAACTTTTCACATTTATTTCCGATTCAGATGTTTATTTATTTTATTCACTATCAATTGTGATATAATCATCATTGTCAATCTAATCATCTTAATTGTCAACATTACAAGATCCAAATTGTTAAGTTTATTTAATTATTAGAAGTTTTTAATTGTTGTCATCAAGTATCACCAAAATAATCAACATCCTAATAACCCACAATTATAATTGAAGCAACTCGGAACAACAATCAACATCATAACTAAATTGATTCTTGAAAAACCTAATTTATGTTTGAATGATTAAAATGAACGTGACTATTTGTTTACAATTAACCTTGATAGTTTAAACTCATCATAACAATCAAGTTAATCACAAAGTAATCATCACAATAATAATTTACCTTCAAAACAAAAAGCCATCACAATTTAGTTACTAATTGTTAGTATTTCTGTTTAACCCCGATCATGGCTGATTTAATCGGTAAATATCAGGCCAAAATGCGCCAATTAGCATCTTCATTAAACGGCGGAAATGGCTCAGTTAAACGATCGATCCCTGAGGCCATTTTAGCAGCTACATCTCCGAAAACTGATTCAAATCGACGAAGCTCATCAATTGTTTCGTTAATCAGTACAGTCAGTAGCAGTTACAGTAATAATAACAACTCTTCAAATAGTCATCAAAACAATAATGTACCTTTCGCATGTAAACCATTACGATTGTGTCAAACACGACACTCGATTCCATCACTCGACTCCATTGAAAAAGCTCAGTTTCATGGTAGATCACCTTCATCATCAATAACAAATTTATCTTCTCCAAGATCATCTTTCTCATCTTCATCATCATGTTGTGAACATCGATGGCAACCTAAGAATCCAAAGTTAGTATAAATATTCAACACTCAATTTAGAACTAAATTACCATGGTTTATTGAATTTCGAAAGAAAGAGATAGAAGAGAGAGAAAAAAATCCAAGATGATGTTTAGTTAATTGATTTTTTTTTTCATTCATTTCCAAATTTTGTCTCTTTACAATTCAATTTGTAACAATTGAACTGATTGTGAATCAAATTGTTAAGATGCTAAGTAGTGACTATTGATCAAGGAAAAACATGATTGAACAAAGAGTCAACTCGAACCTTGGAGACAAAACTTTTTTGGATCAATTAGTTATGACAGCAGAAAATAACGGTACATTTTCGAGTAAAAGTTTCACAAGATTAGTAAGATGACACCTTGATCTTTGCAACTGATAAGTCCTTGTGAGATTTGCAAGATTAATTGTTGCAGATGCGTTTTTTTGGTTGTGTGAAAACGCACGAAAAAAAAACTGTTTAATGTAAAAACGATCAATTAGTTTACTCTTCGGCATTTGACCCTGACCTGTTCTTCAGTCTTTATCATTATTCATCTATCTCTTCACCACCACACTATCATCATATTCATCATTAGCATTCACTCCCCTCCCTTTCTCGTTTCTCCCTCTTCGTTTCCTTTCTTTGAAAAATTTTGTTCCCGCGCCAATTTTGCTTTTTTCAAATGTTTTGGTAGCAAAAAAAATTCGGTTTGCAAACCAATATGACACCAAGTCGATCATCCGCTTCTCTCTCTCTTTCTACATCCTCCTCTCTTTCACCTCCCTCCTTCTCTCTCGCTCTCTCTTTTCACTTATCGACTCTTTTTTTCTGACCTATTCAACTGAACCGAGACCAAACTAACTCATTGACTCAACTCGAAACGCTAAAGCAGCTTAGACATTCACTTAACACGCATCGATTCAAATTGTGCTCAGATCCTTTTACTTACTTTTTTCACCGTTTCTTTCATCTTTCTCTCTTTCCTCATCCTCTGTCTACTTTTCTCTGTCTTCTTTATCATCTTCTTAATACAACAAAACAACAACCGTTTGCTTTAATTGTAAATACCATTAATTTGGTTACAGTTATCATAAAGTTATCTCGAAAATTTAATCACAAAATGATGCTAACGTAATCATTATTATCCTCCTCCCTCATTCCCATCATCATAATCATCTCTATCATCACCCCTTATCATCCTCATCCTCTCAACCTTGTTTTTTGTTAATCACTTAATACCCAATCGGAAGTTAAATTGATTCAAATTGTTATTATCATGTAAAAACAATGCGGTATGAAATTTTCATGTCATTTTGTAGTTTTAATTGTTGAACAATTAATTTTTTGTCTAACTTATTGTTTAATCAAATGGATTTTGACTGGTGAAATTACAAAATACTTAATCAAATATAGTGACCTTAATTATTTCAGTGATAATTGATTAGATTTAATTGTGAAACAGTAAAAAAACAGTTGCAGTTTCATTAAGTGCTTTGATTATGTCACCATCAATATCCATTGGGTCTTGTTGTCTCAATTGTTTCCAACCACCAAAACCAATCAAATCAACACCATCGCCTCCTTCATGTGTTAAAAAATCAACTAATGATCAACCAAATTGTAATAATCATTTAAATTGTTCTCGTAGGACTGCGGCTTTCATCGTGGCCAGTTCAATCTATGGTCAGCTCTTGGTGGTTACCTGTCTGACCTTTTTCACTGCCGAAATCAGGATACCAAATATACCTTTATATTATTTCGAGGTAAGTCCAATTAACTTCTCATCGCTTGATTTTTTCTTACACTTTGCCTTAATTACAACGAGACACTTAATTGTTAACCGTAATTTGATTGTTCTTTTCAGGGCTTTTACCTTTACCTGTATGCAGTTAGTCTTCTGTTTCTTCTTTATGTGTACGTTTATCTGCTTCATGATTTACCGAAAAGTGACCAAAATCGTGAGTATTTAATGACCAATATTCTTCCGCAATTAACTAATTATTTGCTTAAATTCATATCGATCATTCAAACGTCAAAAAATTTCCCAATAACTAATTACTTTGTTCAACTTTTGTATTAATTTTCAAGGTAATTGATTAGTTTCTAAGGTCAGTTGATTAGTTGATGATAATTAAATTGTGACAGGAAATACTAATAGTATCTTAATCTGATTCTTAATCCTTTGTTTCGTGTACTTGGAAATCCATGGAAGCCAACACTTTGATTCCGTTTCCGATTTAAGTTTAATTTTAATGATCGAAGATGAAATTAACATTGAATAATTAGTTAACCATTGTTTAGAAGATTAATTATTGACTAATTGTTGATTCGGCTTAGGTAATAAAGAATTAAATGGCAAAAAGAAAGATAAAATTAGTGAAACTGAAAGATCACATGGATCAATATTCTTGCGAATCGGAGCCGTCGGATTTGGATTAGGAACTATGATCTACAATGGACTCGAATTTGGTTCTTATTTTGAGATTCCATATACTTCCCCATGCTATTCAATACTTTTGGGTAAGTTGATTACAATTAATTAATCAAACTCTCCGCGAATAAGGTTGAAATTAATGTTCTCATAGAAATATAATACATGTAAGTTTGTTATAAATGAACTTCGACTCTAAAAACTTTTATAAACTTCTTTGTCCTTAACATTAACACTTTCGGTGGTTAATCAATTGACTTAATCACTAATTAGATTAACTAAATTGGGTTAGTTGAATTAACGAGCAACTAATTAACTTTTATTGAGTAGATTTGTTTGGTTACATGACTTATACATATAAATCAGCTGATTATCATGATAATTAAAATGAACTTTCCAAAATGAACTCAAACAATCAAAAATTTGATCAATTTAAATTGTTGGGAATCCATTCAAGTCAAGGTTTATTAATTGGATTTATTGTTAATCAAGAAAATTAATAAGCCAAGGTTATTAGAAAAAAACCAAAACAATTAGTGTCTAATCGTGATTGTGATTTACAGAGTTGATCAAATTGATTTAGTTTCAGGTCCCAACAATTGAATATGATATAATAATTAAGAAAAAATTGAAACTTTAAATTGCATGAAATCTAATCAACTTTGTCAAGTTAATTGTCGACTAAATTGTAGCTAATTAACAATCAATAAATTATCACAACAATCGAAAGGTAAATATTGATGATATTATCGATCAATCAGCGAACCTGAACAATGGAAAGAAAAGTTTTTTTTATTCTATTGATGAAGAAGTGAAAAGTGATGAAGAGAAAGAAAAGTTTGTATGATGAAGAAAAGGATGAAGATGAATTGGTAAATCTCTCTGAGTGGCATCTCAATGGTTTGGAAGTGAAATTGACCAAAGAATGTGGTAAAGATGAAGATGACCATTGTAAAGATAAAAGCTAAAGTGATGATGAGCAAAAAAAAGAGAGAAAGACAAAGTGTGAAGAAAATAAAAGCAAATGATGAAAAAGATGAAAGAGGAAGTCGAGAAAGGATGTTGATACTGTGATGTTGGATGGAGATAAAGATTGGTCAGTCAGTTGAATGGTCAGTTATGACTTTTTCGAGATGAGAAACAAAAACGAAAACAGAAACGAAAATACTGGAAACAAGAAAGAAAATGCTGAGATTGGAATGTATTATCACTATTAATATATTATCATTAACATTAGAATGATGATTATACTTCATTGGAACGTATTCTTTATGTTCATCTTCCCTTCATGATATTCGCCTAATATTAAGTCAATATTTATTTGGGAACATTGAAGTAAACACAAACATCTTCCTCATCTTTTTTTTCTTCATCCTCTTCATCCATTTCTTCATTCATCATAATCTTCACAATCTTCATCATCTTTCACCGAAGTTTCCTCACCCACTCGCTCTCTCTCTCTCTCACTTACTCACTATTTTCTCTTCCTCATCCTCTTCACAATGTTTACATCATTTTCCTTTCATCATCCAAACCTCTCATTCAACTTGTTCAGTTACTATCATGTCCTTTTGTCTTGATATTATTTCATTATTATTCGAGTCGAAACTCATCGCGACCATTAAGGCCACTTTGAAATGGATTTTACAATTTCCGGGTTATCTTAACACCTTCGGGAATCATGAAACAACTAATAGCAATCGACACACAAATTACTATGCAATCGATTATGATAATATTTTCTTATTTCTTAATTGTTATCATGGAGTTTTTGTTGAGTTGAAATTAATTTTTCCCAACACTTCATTTCAGAAATAACTTGGAATCTAATATATTTCCATTAACAAATTGTCAGGTAACAATATTAATTTATACCTTTTTCAGTTAATCATTCATTTAATATTTTTATCAATTTCATACTCGTATTGAATTAAATGATAAATGTCAGGTATAAATATTTCATCTCGATCACAATTAACTTAATTTCTTACCGGTAACCATGTTAACTGTCATTTAAAAATATTAATTATCTTTGAAATATCCTAACAAATTAACCTTTACCTTTACCTTGACAACAATTAGCATTCACTTGACGTTTAATTTAATCTTCTTGAACTCAACCAAATTAAACTAATCACATATCAAAGATTATCATCATTATTATAACATGAGGGTGAATATCAATTAATCATTAACACCCTAAGGCTTAATTAACATCAACACAACAAGTTAATTGTCAACTGATATATAAAAAAAGGAAACGTAGAAACAGATAATGTTACAATTAAATCTAATTTGTATTAATATCGCTACTTTGTTGATTAGTGATGATGAGTATTTGAAGGTGATTAGAAAATAAATTGCTATAACAATTTAAATCAATTTGAAACAAAACACTAATCTCAACGGTCTGTTGATTATCATTGTAATCAGTAATTACGATTAAATTTAAATTCAACCCCAACTATTAATAGAAATGTTTTCAATCACAAACAAAAAGACAACAATCAAATTAAGGTGATATAATCAACTAGCCAACTGAATTTGTATCACCTAAAATATATCGACTTTCTGATTGTTGTGATTAAATTTAATTGTTCTTCATTTGTTACAACTAAATCAACTTAATTGTTTGTTGTATTCGCATTCCTTTGATTTAGTTTCTTTTTCTCGATTCTTTGTAATTCGCTATTCGATTAATTGTTCTAATCTCGTTCGAGGACCTTGTGAATTGTTGCTTATCCAACTGAAGCTAATTTAGATCTTATTATTTAAACGATTAGTATATTTACTTAACCTTGTAATTGATGCATTTCAATTACTTTCACTTATGATTAGCACAAATTAGATTAGTAATCTAACCACTAATTCAGTTTTCGAGTGCAATTAACTGAATATTCAAATGTTGGGTTAAATTCAAACTGAATTGAACTTTTCATTTTTGTGTGATTTTAATTGTCATCCTTTATGATCAGATTGATTGTCTCATTTAATCAATAATATTCACAATACTTATCATAATGATTATCAAGTTTAACAGCTAATCAAATGTAATTGTTAATCTCAGTTGTTTAATTTTTAGCTCCAACAATTATTGTTACAATAATCAATTGAACATTCTGATTATCTCATGGATTGAATGATGATTAATTTGATTATCTTTACAATTTGATGAAGATGTGAATGACTCTTGAGGAAAATGATGTTTATCTAATCAATAGCAATAATAACAATCAGTTAATCAAATTAATTGATTGTTTCATCATGTAAATGTTGATTGTGAAGCATCATATTGATCTCATCTAAATTGTGATTCATGATTGGAAATCAATTTCTCACTTGATATAATAAACACTGCATTTAAATTGCTCACTGATCAATAAAATTATTGCTAAATGATTGGGAAAACTGATGATAATCAACTAACAATTGAAACTTATCATGTGATAATATTTAGTTATTCAATAAACATAATCAGTTTAATGATCCATTAATTTATGAATAAATTGTTGTAAATCATAATTATTAGCTGTTAATTGAGTGATAATTTCATCATGTGTAAGTTTAATTGTTATTACAACATATTCATTGTTGATAAGTTGAGTATCCACTTGATTATTCAAAATGGTTAAACATGATGATGAAGTTTAATTGTCAGATTGATTGAGAGAAAAGGATTAATGATAAATGTCTTATTGATGATTAAAATTACACCGAAATTGCTGAATAATCATGATTAACATGATTTGTTGATTGTTCGTAATTGTTTCCTTTGTTCTGACTAAGATTTTTTTCCTCCTCTCAGCAAAGTTTCCATTTCCATGGAGCTCAGGAAGTTTACGTTCAATTTTCACCCTTGAAATTGATTGACTAGTTTCATGGTTGAGATAACGTTATTGCTCAGATGAATTCTGTATTATGATGAGGATGATAAAAAAAACACCAAAGATTTCGTTATTTTCATGATGAAAGTAACCAGAAAAGTAAAGACTTTAGTTCAACTTGGATGGAGCAAAAAAAGTTACAGTGATCACTTTAATAACAATTGTCAGGGTTTTTTGCTATTGCATTTACAGAATTTTTTTTGGAAACTACATCCATCATCCTAACCCTCCACAACCTCCTCATCCTTATCCTACCCCTCATATCATCATCATCATCATCATTATCACTATTATCATTATCATCTCCTTTTCTGACCTTTTATAACCTAGAAAATAATAATCACCATTATCGTGTTACAATGTTGATAATCATCAGAATCAGGGTGACAATCCTTTTCCATTAGAACTCCTGAAATGTTATAATACTTTTTTTCACTCATCATTTCCATCCTCATGTTAAGTATTCTGTAATTTACCTGAACTCAGGATGAAATTTCCTTCCTTGCTGAAACTATTATCTTCATTTTTCTTTCCCCATTCAAACATAACCATTTATAACTATTATGTAATCTAACATTTAACTCCCAGGAATCATGATAACATGATGATGGTGTTAATGGTGATTGAGAAAAAAAAGAAAAACTTTTTCTTATCTGATAACAAATTCACAGTTTACCTTTAATCGGTTATCAGAATTTCTCAATTTTCTATTATATTTCAATCTTATCTCTATCGAATCGTCATAAGAGTATCAATTAAATTGATCATTAGACTATGATAATCAATCAAGAAGCGATTTAGTTATTATATGAACAATAGATTGGGGAAGTTGATTCATTTAATCTTATTAATAAAAAGACAATTAACTTGATTGTCAACCAAAAGTTTAGAGAAAATAATCTGAGATAAAATTGTGAGCAAAAAGTTGAATCTCATTAATATTATCATTCCTTTGTCATATTGATTCAGAATAGGAAACAATCATATCAGGGAAAAAAATATCATCCATTTTATTTGATAAATTTATTTTATTATTTTCTTTCATTCATCAGCAAGAATAAGTTGCAGTTGAGAGGAAGGTTGAACTTCGAACTAATAAGAAAAAAGTTCTACTTAGATTGATGAAGATGCTGATTTGATTGTTCGAGGAAAAGTTTCTTAGAACTCATTTTTTATCCTTTGTAATTCATAATCGATGTAACATT